TAATTAGCATAATAATTCATAATTTTTTGGTTCTAATCACATTTCAATTAAACTTGGTACATAGAGTTTTTGTTACATTGCGCAGACCTCATTAGTTTTACAATCAAATCTGTTCATGTTAATTTCCTGATTTGCATAATTAGTTTCAGCAAAGTAATTTCAAATTATATTAATGTGTCTCCAATACTCTCAGCACATGGGAGTTCTTTTAAGCTTTCTTTGATTCAGATTGAATTCAAAATGGCTGACTGTTTTAATGATTGGGCTTCTAGAGCCATGTTTTGACTTATTAGCTCCGCTGTCGACTTTGTCGAGTGGAGCTTATCATATGAGTGATTGTCCGTCGTCGTCGTCGTCCGTGTCAATGTTTTACTCTTTTGACTTCTCCTTGAAAACTACAAGCTGAATGCTTTGATACTTGGTGTATATGTACCTTGGGTAGACCTCTCTCAGATTTGTTTATTTCATGATGATATCTTCAATTCTCTAATTTTGGTGATTTTTTCAACTTCTTGTTAAAAAGTCCAAGTGCTTTGATATTACATATTCTCTAATTTTGGTGAATATTTTTGTCATTTTTAGTAAAAAGTGATATTTTCGACTTCTTGTTGAAAACCTCAAGTCCAATTGCTTTGATATTACATATATAGGTACTACATGGGGACCTCTCTCAAATTTGTTCATTTTGTAATGATATCTTTAATTCTCTAATTTTTGTGAATATTTTTGTCATTTTTGGTAAAAAGTGATATTTTCGACTTCTTGTTAAAAACCACAAGTCCAATTGCTTTGATATTACATATATAGGTACTACATACATTATAAACTTCGCAAATTAACATATTAATTAAAATAAAAATGTACAGGTTTAAGTGTTACATAATACGGTGTTTGATCTGTGTTGGCATGATGACATGAATTCATTTCTTTTGTTTAGTGTGGAGTGGTGTGGTCTAAAACTTATGATTTTTTCCTTCAAACATAGAATGCATCGTTTGCTAGAGCTACTGTACGGGCTACCACGAGCAAGAATTTTCCACGTTATTCTATGCTCTATATTTTTTCTTTGAGTGACCAAACATGTTTACTAATTTCTGTCGCATTTCTCGATGCCTGATTACGAAATGAGGCTGTGTGGTTTCTGTACCTTGTTTTGAATTAATTTCCAGTAAGTCGCGTAACTTCTGGTATATGGTATATGACGACGGACTTCAAGCACTTCCCTCCAGTGGACATGCTGTTTTCTTGTGGCAATTGAATAGCTTGTTGACTTTCATTTTATTACTCTGTTCTTATCGGTCGCAAGTTGGCATTTGTTTGATACGGTAGTATCTTTTATATTGTTCATACAGCTATAGCTGACTTTGATGGTATTTCTGTTGAATATTTTCCTGAGATTATTGCCAGTTGGGAAGCACTTGTCGATTAAATCCAGGAATTGCTTGCCGATGCTGTTACAGGCGTTTCAGCTGTATAGTGGGTTAAACCAAAGGGCATTACTGCATGACAGTTCTTTGGTAGGGTGGTGCCGCAATGTCAAACATCTTCATATCTGACAATATTGATGATAATTTCTTGTTAATCCCAGCCAGGATATTCTTTGTGATTGCGTGTGGGTGGTTATTCTCCTTGTGTATGTATACCATGTGCCGTTAGGCTTTGTAAAGGGGCTGTATAAACCCTCAATGAGGTTTAGCGTGACATCAAGGAAGTTGACTATTTTCTTATTTGCTTCGATCACAATCTTTAGGCCGTGGTTTTTAAATATGTGACAGATTTCTTTTTTGATCTGTTCTGGGTGTGGCGTCTAAGGCGACTAAACCGTCATCTCTGTATAGACCGATACAGACATTCTTCCCTAACCGTGCTTCAAGTTGTGAAAGCAGGAAGCAGCCCACAAGTTCGCAGGTCTCTGTGCCGTCAAAACTTCCCATTGTGACATCACACGTGTTGGAGCCCTTTTGCCACAGTGATTGATTGTGGATTAACAACGTTTGTTGTTGTTTGTTGGCATGAGTGATGTTTATTTCTTCATCCGGGATATTATCTTTGGCTGAGGCAAAACGCAACGCAACGCAAGCTTTGCTTAGTAGATATTTGCTTATGGATAGGTAGAATTCCACAACGTCAAAACAAATAAAGTTATAACGTGCCTTGTTATCGATATGGTCAAACCATTTGATCACGGAAGACCTAGTCTTCCACTGGTTGATACCAGTAGCTGTGATGGTCTTCTTGTTAATTCTATCCAGGATTTGTTTGGTTATCTTCCCTATTTCAGATTTTGATGGATTAATTAGTCTGCATGATGGGATATTTGCGAAGCTTGGTTTGTGTTTTTTAAAGTTATGTAAGCATCTCTCCCTGCTTTTTTGTTACAGGTGGACCTCTCTCAGATTTGTTCATTTTGTGATATTTTCAATTCTTTATTTGAAATGTGCATTGCTAACAGTGGAGCTACATTGTATCTCGGTTGAGAGGCTGATTTTTGTTTTAAATTTCATTCAAGGATTTTGCCATTTCAACCTCATAGTGGCAACATATGGGATTTGTGCTATCCAATGAACCACTGCTACTGCTTGTCGATTCACTGTTAAGATGTATGAATTTTGTTAATTTTTAAAATGTTGTCAATGTGTCTCTATTACCGTAAATATATTCCTAAAATTAATTTGTTCAATTGCAGCACATAAGTGAACATGCATAAGAATTGTTAATGCATATACTAGTCATTGCTGTAGCTTCTCACTTCAACAGCAATGAGGAAAGCAAAATTGGCTTGAACAGGTCCTTTAATTACATGTAGCAATATTAGATTCAGAAACACCCTCACACAAGATATAGACTTGAGTCCAGAGCAAGGAAGTCAACGATTCTACTATATACAACTACTAAACTTCTTACACCAATGAGAATGTAGTAAAGCTGACAACAAAGCCTGACAGGCCTACTACTATAACAAAAGAGCCACATATAACAATTATAGTGAAAAAAAACAAGGAAGCAAGCTGAAGTCAACAAGGAAGTTATCAGACCATATGAAGGTTACAATAAAATGGGCAGGCATTTGATGGTAATCACAAACATCTAAGAAAAACACACAAGAATATATAGACCAGCAGCTGACACAAGATGACCAGTCACTTCAGAAAATTCTTGTGGAATATCAAGTAGCAATGTGATAATATCATATTGGATTTAGTAAATAACATGTTCAGGACATATTGTTAAAGACTATATAGTAAACAGTATAGTCCAAAATAGAAACTGCATGTGTAGTGAATATATAAAAGGGGTTGATTGTATCCTGCAACACTCGATTCACTACGTTCATTTATCGACCATAGACTCGCGAGTCTATTCTGACCATACACTTCAAAACATACTAACTCAATGACCAACAACAACGATGACAAAGACAACAACACCAACATGCACATGCTACTAATACATAGATATTAGATCAGTTTATAGGGGTGGGCCCTGTCGTAGCGAGTCAGACATTGATTGTTGACCCAGCAAGGACGATCACAGGGCTAACTGCGCATAGGCGATAGAGCAGTCTCGGCACTCCAGACACTCCCAACCACCCCACTTTCCGTAGCCATTGGCTTTAAGTCCTTGTATACGGGAAAAACAGGAGAGTGAATATAAGGCAATATGGCCGCTGACCTCTATACCTTATCACGTGATACGTGACGTGGAAGAAAATCCTTAGGTCATGGGGCTTCCCCTGACCTGGTTTTCTCACTCTGTCATTGGCTAAATCACAGATTAATGCCTACAGACAGTTCAAAATAATCATTTTGACTGACCGGGGTCTATAGTGGGTATGAACTAGGTGAATAGGTGGGTTGAAAACACCCCTGCTTGAATCTTTTTTAAAAGATCTGATAAACCGTTTTTTTTTTTTGAGGTTTCTTGTCAATTTGTCAGTTGCTATTTTAAATTTAGTTTTTGATTTTCAGGCATTCAAATTAACTTTTATATTATTCAGATCAGAAGTTGGAGAATTGATTGCAGACATCTTTGGCTCCAGTGATGAAGAGGAAGAATTTGAGGTAAGAGTTGTTCAATGTCATTTGATGTTGTCGATTAGCGGCTTTTTTCATCATCTATGTGCTCTACATTACTACATATGGAGACTGTGGATTCAACAAATCTATACACTAAAACACTAAAAACAACAACACTAAAACTGCTCATATTGAATGCCTTTCTATTTTATCAGTTCCTGTTTTACAAGTTCACAATCTGAAAAGGTGGATTGATGAATTGATCTGGTGCCACATTTTATTTTAATAAATGCTGTTCCAGTGCCATATGTCTGACATAAATTGACCAATGGTGTTCAGCTTGTCATCATACGTCATGTCACACATGTCCAACATTTTCTCAGAAATTCTGCAGAGATATTGATGAAACTTCAGGTTGATGAATAAGTCTCTGCCAATATGCACACAATTTTTTTCCAGATCTGAAAATCCTAAGTGGGTTTTTGTCAGCATTTTCATCCAAAATTACCTCTTCCAACACCACTGAAAGAACAACTGAGCATGCTCAAGATAAATAATAAGCTTAGATTGTAATGCTAGGGTTTTCAGTGATGTCATGACCTGATCTGAATCAGTGACAGATGGGTCGTACCATTACCAATCTCTGTGGAAACTGTAGAGGGGTGTCAGGGCTACATTTTGAGGGGGATTATAGTTGTGATACTGAAACAAACCCAGGTCCTAGTAATATATAAAGACTTGAATTAACAAAGAAGTCAAGTTGTTATTAAAGGTACATCAAGGTTTACTCAGATTTATGAATGCAGTATACATGTATAAGACATAGTTTGGTTGCACTTGTGTACTCTGAGATTTTGGACTTGGGTCAAGGGAAGTTTTCAGTTATCTGTACAATACTAGATTAAGGGAAATCATTATATGATTAGTTGTACCCACATAGAGTACATATTAATTCAATTGTTTGTAAATGTTCCATGTATTATTTTAACACAAGTATTTTATGATTAAATGACTGGGACTGTGACATTCATGTCTTGTTAAAACATGAAAACTCACAAGACTATGTAATGCAATTACCGGTACCTGTTTTATAGGGATTTGATGCCGCTGATCTTGAAGCAACTACAAAAAAGAAAAAGACAGGTGAGAATACAGCCCCTTTAAAATGGTTTGATCCTGTAAGAAAAGTGTGTCAGGGTCCTGAACATGGAATTGCCAAAAAATAGGGGTGGGCATATTCCCAGACATTCCCTGCAAAAAAAAGAAATTTCGCAGAAATTGACAACACGTAGATTGAACTGCGACAGGGAATAGAATGGCAAATGAAAACATACAATGGAAATAAATGAACAATATGCAACATTAGAAGTATAACAAAAATAATTTATTGCTTATTGTGACAAATAAACCAGAAATAATAAAAATCTACAGTCTGGAATCATTCGAATTTGGATTTCCTCGCCGCAAATATGCCCAATATTCGTGAACTCAAAATGAACTACAATGTCAGGGATTAAACTGCATAAAATTATTTCTGGTTTTGACAAATACCGGATTGACAGTCATACACTAACAATAATAATTTACGGATTTACACAGTAAAAATTATGAAAGTTCATAGTTGTTTGAAAAAAAGTCAAAGTCAAAGCCCTTGAAGTCCGAGTCGGCGTCACTTCGCCGTCCAACAAAATCCTACAGCTTCGCCCTGAAGTTCATCAATGTTGTCACACACAATTTGGACACACTTTAAATCAATTGATTTCGCTGTCTGTCAGCTTGGCATGTCTTATCACAATGAAGAGACAAGAAAAATGGGGTCGCGTGCAAATTACTTGCTCTATCATCTTCTACCTTTAAGCATCTGCTTTACTGATTGGCTAAAAATGACATCACTACTAGTGTTTCATCACAGAGGTCAAGTCATCGATGTGAAATTGCAAAATTTCTGGCCCAAGTTATGGATTTGCAAGCTGTTACCAAATATTTTATAAAGTCGAAACAACGTGATTCAACCACTCTCCCATGTATGGGCTGCTACAATATTGCGACACTGGTGACATTGTCACGGCTCTCGATACTGTAAGATTTGCTTGAATTGTTTCTGAGGAAACATAAACCAAACAGCCTTTTTCAGGGCCACGATGTATTTAAAAAAAGGGAATTCTGCTTTAATATACATTTTTGCAGACTGTTATGATTCTGATAAAAAATCTTGAAACATAAATGTTAACTACGTAAACAGCGCTGCCCTGAAGGCAGAATGCAACATTACCTATTTTGTTGTCACTGTTTGCCTCTCATTTTAGGCAATTGACATTTATTTTACAATTTTTTTTATCAGAATCATAACAGACTGCATGAAAGTCAGCTGTTAATACAACAACAAAAAATAGATTTTTGTTATTATTTTTTTCATTATAAGTGTAGAAAAAGACCCCTAGGGCATATGCCTGGACCTCAATTTTGTTATTGTATAAATATTTGGGGGTGGGCATTTGCCTGGGCATGGGCACTTATTCTGTGACATTACACAACAGAAATTACTGTTTTTCTCTTAATGAGATAAATGCTCATCCCATCTGATTGATTGCTTTGTGTGCTTTAACTCATCAGCCATGATATCTTCAGATGAAGATGATGATGTTGGCATACCTGAAGAAAAAGATGAAGAAGAAGCTGTTACCATGGAAACAGGGCCCACTACGGAAGGACAAGCAGCTTTAGATTCTGATGAGGAAGATGAGGAACTTCGCAAGCAGTCCAGGGAAGAGTAAGTAATGCCTTCTACGTGGTTACCATTTTAGTCTAGTTTGGATGAAGCCGAAAACCGGAACTTATGAGGACTTATTGACCTGTGTGTGTGTGCATGTGCGCGCATCTGTAGCCAACCATATCTCACACATGCTTTGGCTGATCAAGTTCAAACTTCACATACACATCAGAAATTATATAGGAAATATGTTTCATGTTATTCACAGTTACTTGACTAAGTTAAATTCACTTTGTCTCAAGCACTAAGTGGGGGCTTAACTTTCTAGTACATACTGAAAAATACTTTATTTTATATGGAATTAATTTTCACTGATATTTGATGCATTGAATGTAAAATATAGTAAAAAAGGTATATTCACTGTATTTTATTTTTACTTGATCATTCATTCAGCAGAAATAGCTAATATAAATCCAAGCAAAAATAAAGTATTTTACAGTATTAAAAAAAAATGGGGACTAATAATTTGCATTCAGCATATGCATCAGTGCTTTGTAGTACTGTAAGACATTTTTACCTTGCCCGTACCATCAAAGATGGAAGGGAAAGGTATATTAAGGGAAAGATTTTGTCCGGCGTTGTCGTCGTCGTCGTCGTCGTCGTTGTCGTCGTTAATAATTGTTATTGTGTGCATGATAACTTTACTAATTCTATTCCAAACTTCATCAAACTTGGTCACCTTGTTCATCAGTATAAAGTCTTCCCTGAGTTTGAACAACAGATGTCCTGTATGAAAATATCATGCAAAAATTGAGAAAAACTGATAAAATATTTCGACTGTTTCTACTTGACTGATCACTGGTGATACACATCAAAGGTCACTGATCTCAGTGGAAATATGCATTGTTGTATGTGTTCAATGAAGCAAATGATTTATCTTGTAATAATATCCTTGGTAATGTATCTCAGAATCCCTTACTGGGTTTCAAAACCAACTCATGGAGAGATTGCACAGTCTGATACACATTTGCAAACCTACCAATAAATCTTTACAGAAAACAAGATGTCAGAAAATCAATATAAGCACTGCTATGAACTGGGTGCCAAACTTTGATCAAGATCTGAAGCTAATAGAAAA